CGGAGTGATACCAATAGCGATCTGCTCAGGGACTTAGCCAATGTAGTAAAATATAGGTGTGATATATACCTGGAGGAAGAGAATGGTCGCAGGAGTTCCTAGCACCTCGATTCGCACTAGCATTTACTCCAGAAGGCTCCTTGCACCTTCACGCAATAGAGGTCAAACCCCGCCCTCGCTCCACTCCTTCATGGTCTCATTCAAAGGCTGCGGGCTGCGAGAATAGCATAGGCATGTAAATAAATCTCCTAATTATTGCACTTTATAAGCAGAGATACTTTGAAACCACAAAACCATACAGTACTCTAGGTAAGCAGTGAGTGACATTTTTGGTTCAAAACCAGGGTCAAGCGTGTTGATGCGATCCGGGACCCTCATTTACGACCCCCCCTTGAAGGTACCCATCCCCCTTCCCCTCTCCCCCCTCCACCCTCCCCCCACCCTCCCCCATTTTATCCCTTTAACCTCCCCTGCCCAAATTCCTCGCGGTAACCTGCATAAACGAATGTCATCAAAAAACACCTGCGTGAGAACTTCAGTAAGGTTTCGAGAGCAGAATTTCTAGGCCAATGGGTCCATCCAGCATCTGTAGCACACATACACACCTTCAATAATGTTTGAAATTTTGCAAGTTTTTCTTGAATTTTTAGGCATACTTCAGACCAGCAAATTCGATTCCCGTTGGCGGCACAAATTTTTGCACGGAGAAAAAAATGACAAGGAAAAATGTTTTCAATTAAAAATTACTTTCTACCTCTTCCACAGTTTTTCTCGCGAAAAAAAAACGCTTGAGCGCCGTCCACAACGACGTCAAAAACGTGCATGAGCACGGTAGTTTGAAAATTTGTAACTGAGGCCAGGAAAAGACTGAGAGGCTGCGAAGGACAAGTTCTGTAGTATAGTTCCCAGGCTATCCACAAAAAAGTTTCAGCTCTTGAGGAGCAGTAAGCTCGAGAAAATTTAGATGCGACTCTCGAAAATTTAGATGCGATCCTAAAAAGCAAAAACTGGGATTTTTGAGCTTAAAATTTTGTAACTTACCAGAGAATGTATAAAACAGCCTGCAATTTTTATGATGGAAAGTGGGAGGATGGCCTCATATTATAGCAGAATTGCAGCCGACAAATTTCGATAGCTCGGAAGAAATTTAGATGCGACCCAGATACGCCCCCCCCTTTCCTGATTTTTTGCCACCATACATAATTATAAGAAAATCCACAGTTAACAGAATAACACCAAATTTTGCATTAATAAAGCTCTGCTTTTTGATTCCCTTTTAGGCTTAGAGTATTTTAGCCTAAGTACCTCTTCTTACGACCCTCCCCCCCCCCACCTTAGTACCTTCTTTACGACCCCCCGTTGCGACAGTCGCTTCACAAGCTTGACCCCGTTCGAAACTGTGTTTTGTGAAGAAAATGCGCTGATAAGATGATTTTCTCTGCAAGGAATTTTTTACGGTTTTTGTTCCTGCATTACCATTAATTATGCTTGCTAAACATACGAAGCAATGCTATGATACTACTACTTTGGCACTATTTACAACCAAACTCAAAATTACGAAATTTGTAGTGCAATCTCTGAAAGCTTGTTTCTCTGAGGTGCCAACGAGAAGATGAATTGAAATAACTCCTTGAAACAAATAAAATATCTTGAAACGCAAAACCCACTTCTTTTTTCGAAGAAGCCATGAAATTAGGTTCAAATTTCAGTAAGTGATTAAATTTTCTTTGATTTAAGCGAGAACTTTTGCATCGACCTACGTAGTAGGTCAGAATCGTTTTGGCAACAGAAAATTTACAAAATTTCAGCAGATAATTAGATGAAGTTATTGCAAAACGCAATTAATTGTACAACAATCTCTCCAGAAAAAGGTCTTTCTTATTCATTATCATGAAAAAGCAATAGAACATGAATTCAAACAAGTATTGAAAACGGTATTTCAGTATTGAAAACGCATTCAAATTTGATGAAAAAGTTGTTAAAAAATGATGGGAAGCTCAAATTATTCGGTTAATAAGTCACTTGCTCCACGACTGGTCTCCGCAATAAGTCAAATTTCGCTTTTCTAGATAGATTCTGTGAATTTAATAGAGCACAGCAAGCTTTACAAAGTAATGATTTTTAGAACTTGCATCAAGTTTGATGTACAGTCTGCCCCAATCCTAACCAGGCCAAAATTGGCATGGCGGGAGTCCGCGTCTCAAGGGTTTCGCGGTCAAGCCCACGGCCTGCTTCTCTGCTCTCTCTCCAATCGTTTTGCTCTCTCCGACAGCGCGCACAGGCAGCGCAGACCGCTAGCGCTGCGAGCGCCAAATTTACGCCGACGGTTCGGCCTGATCCCGATTGAAGCAGACTGTACGCGAAGTTGTAGCCAAAAACTAGAAGAATTTAACTGCCAAAAAATGGAGAAAAGTAGAAACTCTATTAATAAAATTGCATTCGTGCAACTTGCTTAATGGATATGTTTTCATATCAGAGTACATAAGTACACTTTCACTAGCTGAAAATCCAGAAAACGGAAGTATCTTTTCCGATGAGGCGATGCCCACAAGTAGACTTCATAACTTCTCATCTGCCACTCTGTCCGTCATTATTCATCCATTCAACAGAACACATTGGGACTATTCTCCACGCCTGCACAACTCGGAATTAGATTAGCTAGTGGGCGGAGCAAGTGTGCGGAACCGTCTAAAAGGTGCTAACAAGGGAATGGTCAGAAATCGAAGTGGCCAATTCAAGCAAGCTGCATACTATTCGATGCAGCATAGAATGCTGATTTCAGATCTGTCTTCTTTATCTGCAGAGCGCTTTTGTAGGCGAAGTTATAAGCCGTTAAATGTCATCATTTTGCTAAGAAATTGTGCGTGTAAAGGTCAAACTTAGCCGTACAAAGCCATTCTCGGCTCAGTGTTGGACCAAAACGTGTAACCAGGTCAGTTCATATGGCTCGTACCTAAAGGTGAGCTAAAAGAGCAGTGATCTGCCTAATTTCGCAGTTTTTGTGGACGATTTTTCCGCAGTAAAGCTGCTCATAACTTCGCCCACAAAGGCGCTCTGCAGATACGGAAGACACATTTGAAATCAGCATTCCATGCTGCATCGATTGGTGTGCAGCTTGTATGGATTGGCCACTTCGACTTCTGACCATTCCCTTGTAAGTACCCCTGCAAGAAAAGGCGGCGAGGCTTTCGGAGCTTCTGGGCTGCCGCTTGGAGGAAACAAGATCTCAGATAAACGCCGGGGCAGGCGGCCATGCGATTTGTGGGCAAGCGGGCACCGGAAAATAGTTCGCTGATTTCTTGCGGTCCTCTTGCAGAAATATGAAAGAACTAGCCAACTTTTAGTTAAATGCTCGAAGAACAATCGCGGTTCTTCCATGGATTAGTTGCGGCGCAGTGGCCGCATTTTCGCGGACTGTGCAAAATTGTTGACGGCCGCACGGTCCTTAGTGAAGGACCGCACAGCCAAAAACGTACCCCCGTTGAAAGAGAGTACCCCAAACTCGGGTAATCAAAGCATCGATGACAGCTCTGCCACACATAGTCTCATCTTTGCTCGGCGTACGTTCAAAACTGCGTAAAAAGGGTCCGAGCGCCTGCTGAAAGTTTGGCCCGCGCTCGCTAAAAGAGATCGTTTGACGGGCGCTTGCAGAAAATCTTGTAATGCTGTTGGCTGGCAGAACACGAAAGTACCGCTCGCTGAAGGTTTAGCCACGCTCCAAAATTTTACTGGCCGCTTGTAGAAAAGCACGAGTTTACGGACCGTTTGCCCCCGGCGATTATCTGAGATGATGCAAATTTGAAGGACCAAGCAAAAAAAAAGGAACAAGGCGCACAAAGCGCAGAAAAATAAAGCACATATTCAAGAATCAAAACGGAATTTTGGACGCGAAACTCTGACCGATATGAAGCAATTGATGAAACCTGTGAAGATGCACAAGCTGAAAAAGAAACAACACCCAATGAATTGATCAGTCGATGTTGAACGGAAGGGTGGAACAATAAGACGAAGCTAATTTCAACGTATCAGCAAACAAGAATTTGGTGGAAAAGCTCAAGAGTGTTATGCGAAGCGGTATGAAAAAGTGTACAGAAGTACCGGATACCCTCGCGCGTTTGGGGATTTTCGTCAAAGTATATTCCTGCCGATTTAATCGTACAAGTGAAAAACAGAACGAAATTCAAAGGAGGGAGTGGACCTTGTTGTGTGCCAGAAATCTGGAAGAAGATCAGATCGCTTGGACAAGGGTCGCATAGGCAAGGAGGCATGGAGAACGATCACATGGCAAGGATCGTTAGACAACGACCACAAGGAAAAGCAAGGAAGAGAAGATTACAAACAGATTAGAGCTTATCAAGTGGATACGCCACTCACATAAAGGGAGACGTGTGGCATCGGAGCCCGGCTAGGTTTTTGTCACAGTATTAGTTTTGAACCAAAACCATGAGATGTGCTAATCACCATATCTCGTGCGTCGTTTCTAAGATGTGTAGTTCGTTCCTCACTAATGTTTGCTGTTCTGTATTAGCTCTTCTGTATTTCATCATCTGCTACTCATATTCTCTGTTCTTTGTATTTGCATAATGTTTTATCTTGTAATTTGTCATATTTTGTGATGAAACATTTATATTTTTACCAGTTGTCCCGCCAAGTCAGTGGAACCTGCGGTCTGGGCTGTCATACCGCCACTAAGCCAAGGTTGTTATCTCTAAACGGACAGGCAAGATTATCCAAAATGTTTTTTTAGGTAGAATTAGTCGTTTAGTGCAGTTGAATCTGAATGTTTATGCAGAGCTGTGGGGTTTTTTTCGCGTCAGATTTCATGTGGACCACCTTGTATGGCAAATGAAATTGATTTCCGTTTTTGCTTTGCGCTCATTGTCAGTTTAACGTGCATCAATTTTGATAAGCGTTGAATAGCAAATATAATGAAATTTAATACCGCCATTATTGTGGTGCTTTTGAGAATAATGGGAAATTGACAACAAAGACAGTCTGACATTTGTGATAAGTCACTAACGTGGCTGATCCGTTCATTCACATTTGCAAACAGCGGTGCTATTTACAACCTGCTTGGTAAATGTGCCGGCTTTATTTTTTCATTGGAACGGTAACACTTAGAGCTCGTTTTTATTAAACTGCCTGAGTGGTACATTTAGGCGTTTTCTCTTCTAGCAACCTGCATCGGTAAGTGTGGCATAGCTATTGCTTATGAGAATAAAAAAACTTAGGTGTTTCGAAATGTCCAAATGGCACCTTCGAGGAAGAAAACGCTACTGCTTTGGTTAACATAATTAATGGAGCGAGAAGGAAGTTGGGGGACGGTTTGCAAACTACTGTAAATGGAACATTATTACCACCTGCCAAAAACATGAATGTTCTGGTATGTGAACAGAAGATCTTCCATACCTTGGTCTTAAACTCTTAAACTTTTCAAGTACTATTTGTGCCAAAAGTATTTGCACGAGCGAACAAGTTTTGGTGAGACTCGCACTTGTTAATTCAATAAGAAATAATAGGCAATAACCTTCGTGCAGATACTAGGTTGTCTCGAAAGTTCTTGCGTAAATCAAACAAAATTTGATAACTTTTCAATAGCTAAACCTAAATTCACAGTTTCGTTCTCTAAAAATATCAAAAAGTCCGCGCTCCATGATAAAGTTTTGAGCGCAGATTCCATGAGCTAGCCCCCGAGAACGAAGCTATCAAATACGGGGCTTCGAAACTTGCGATTTAGAGTTTGGTGCCAGAAAATCGCAGAGTGACGTTAGTTAGCCGAAAAAAATCTGTAGAAATTACTCACACAGCAGAAGTCCATGTGTTACTTTGGAGGGCTTTGATCTTGTACGGTGAAGCAAGCTCTCAAATATGGGGCTTCGAAATCTGCGCTTGAACGTCCATCATGGAGCGCAGACTTTCTAATGTTTTTAAAGAACGAGTGTGAATTCAGGTTTAGGTGTTGAAAAGTTATTGAATTTTGTTTGGATTACGCAAGAACTTTCGAGCCAACCCAATATAAGAATGCGGGTAACATATCATTCGATAAAGCAAAACAGTCTCTACAAGACAGCATCAAAAAGGTCGCAAAAAGTTTGACTTGCGGTATTTGTTTCATGGCAGAAGTTGGGAGAATGAAGTTGGCATGTTTTAGCAAATGCAATAGGCTGCTCTGACATATTTGATTCTATACTAGAGAACTTGAAATACAATTATAGATTTTCAGCTTTTTGCAGAGTTGATTCCCAAGAAATATTAAATTTTGCATAACATGCAAAAAGACGATATGTTCGCATTTTTGGCACATTTGAAATATTCACTTTTCAACCATTGTAAAAATGCGGCAAGTTTTCATTGAATGTTTAATGTGAAAAGCACATGCATGACCAAGTTGGAGGTCCGCAGGATCTTTTCGCATGAAGATCTCCAATTTTTGAGTAACCTAATTTCTCTTTCTTTTTCTTTCGGTTTTCGCTGATCTATATCTTTGCAATCTTTCAAAAGCAGTCTTAGATACTCTGCCCTAGCAAAAGATATGAGATATGTTTCACACTTTTTTATATGTATACCGCTGCCATCGCGTAAGAAACCCGGAATAATATCCACGAAAGTCCCCGCGAAATGGGCTTTTCGTGCAAAAAAATGGACTTAGTCATGCGGTGCGATAAGATATCGCATTCGCGAATCCATTTATTCCGTACAAAACTTCTTCAGAAAACCTTTCTCTTGCCTCAACCTGTTTGCTCACTCTTGCAAACTCATTTCCACCAAGTGGCCGCTATCTAACTAAAGCTGACCTGACATTACAGTGACAATTACGTGGATTTTCTATTCTTTCCCACTTCGTTACACCCAAAATACCATTTATTTCGATGACTATGCGTCTAAATCACCTCCAAGAATAAAATGCATATAATATCCGGGCCTTCGCTTCTCGAGACTTTCATGGATGTGCATCAAATCAAATTCGTATGTATAGCTCTCTGCGGAAAGCAAACTTTGGCTAGACTTGCACTGCAATCTGTGAATCAAAACACTTATGTTATAAGAAACCTTGTACTACACTACCGCCCAAAAGGTTTTTTAAATCGAAAAAACTACGAATCTGCAAGAGATGACTTCGTAAATTTTCTACTCTAGCTCTTTTTTATCTCTCAGCACAATATTCATATCTCTAAGCAGTTGAGTGTATGGACTATTGCTAGTGGGGTATTTTTCCAGTTTTTCTTGCTAGCTAGTGCCATTTCAGTGATTCTTGACTCAGAAGCTCAAAATCGCGTTTGAGATGCCATCTTTAAGGTTCGGTTATGCAAGATTAGTCAAAAGATAGCTTCTGAGTAATTATAGTGAAACGGAAGTCTTTTGAAATACAAATCATGAATTTAGTTTTGGTTGATGATTTGAAAGGTTAACAAACTTTATTTGATTTACACAGGAATTTTCGCATCGACATGATATTTGAAAGCATTTGAGTTTGATAGCGAATATTTTGGTGAACGTAACCTTCTTCCATGATTCTTATAATGTTTGTATGAGTTTAGAAAGAAACACTTATCAGACTTCATAAAAGATATGAAACTTCTTCCACTCGCTTGTTACCTTAGAATGGGCTAAGGAACACATTCTTAAAAAATCGCCATCAAGAATACGCAAAAAGGTCAAAAATGGGCTTAGGCCTTAGCTCACCTTGCTGCTGGGATAAAATGGGCTTTCAAGTCTATTTAGAATGAAGGTAAATCCCATTTTGCCCCATTCTAAATTGACTTTTCGCGTGATTCTTTCGCAAGCGAGAGCTCAAGTAGGGTTGAATCATTTCCACCACACCGCTTTGCCTCGTGGTTTCGATGAGATAAAAAAAATTTGGATAACGTCAGCGAATGTAGATTCCGACCAGTTTCTACCGCGAACGAACAAAATGGGGTTTGGAGGTCCATTTTCCTCCATTATGGACTTTCGTGGATATCATTCTCGCATTGATTTTCGGACCTGATACTTTTAACCCTGAAAGCCATTTAGAATATGATGTTCATGTGTTTAAAACGTAAAACACCAATTTTATAAGTGTTGGAAAGTTCCGCTAAATGACTGGTTGTCGCCTTACATCGTTTAGAGCTAAAGGTCCAAAAATGGGCCTAATGCTTGAGCGACAACTGAAGTTTGAAGCAAGAAAGAAGAAGTACAATAGGAAATTGCTGCACAGCCCGGCGCCATTCACACAGAATTTCATTCTGCAACCTCAATGCGAAAATAGCACATATTGCTAATCATAAGTTTTTACAATAATTTTGCGTCTTGCCACCGCTTTGTGTCCCTACATTCGAAATCGAGTATGACGGATTAGAAAAGACCCATGTCGCACAAACTAGCAATTCGGCTGTGATTCTCACTTTTGTGCACGTCCAATAATGTTAATGGTGTAAAAAAACCTCGCTGTTTTTGGATTCAATGAATAATGAAGCTGCTTATCAACGCAACATTGATTGTTGGCACAACTTTAGAGAAGGGTCAAGCTTGTAATGCGACTGTCGCAACGGGGGTCGTAGGAGGGTATCTATGGTGGGGGAGAGGAGGGGGTCGTAAGAGGAGGTAGTTAGGCTAAAATACCATAAGCCTCAAAAGGGACTGCAAAAAACAGGCAATTAGTTACGTCCTTTACAAATCTATAAAAAAGTGGAAATCAGATAAAAAAGATAAAAAATCTGTAGAAATTCTCAAGAAAATATTTACAAGAGCTCAAAACACTTTTGAAGAATATATTATTTGACAAAAATGCTGAATGTACCGATTTCTTTAGAAATCTTGCTTCTGAAGCTTTCCTGAAGTCTCACACACTTGACAAAACCGAATGTCTTAGTAGCTGTGACCATCATAAATTTCTAAATCTTTTTGTAATGTTTTTCACGGGCCCACATGATTTATCTATACTTTTGAGATGCTCCGCTATATCAGTGCAAAATTTGGTGTTATCTTGTCAACTGTGGATTTTCTTATGATTTTATGAATGGTAACAAAAGTCAGGAAAGGGGGGTCTATCTAAGTCGCATCTAAATTTTTTCGGAGCTATTGAAGCTTGTTGGCTGCAATTTTGCTGTAATATGAGGCCATCCTTCTACTTTCCCTCATAAAAATTGCAGGCTGTTTTATAACTTCTCTGGTAAGTTACAAAATTTTAAGCTCAAAAATCCCAGTTTTCGCTTTTTGGGATCGCATCTAAATTTGCGAGAGTCGCATCTAAATTTTCTCGAGCTTACTGCCCCTCAAGAGCTGAAACTTTTTCTTTGGATAGTCTGGGCAATATACTACAGAACCTGTTCTTTGAAGCCTCTCAGTCTTTTCCTGGCCTTAGTTACGAATTTTCAAACTACCGTGCTCATGCATGTTTTTGACGTCCTTCTGGACGGCGCTAAAGCGGTTTTTTCGCGGGAAAAACTGCGGAAGAGGTAGGAAGTAAGCTTCTTAGTCGAAAACATCTTTTGTAGTTCAAGAATGTCATTTTTTTTCTCCGTGCAAAAATTTGTGTCGCCTACGGGAATCGAATTTGCTGGCCTGAAGTATGCCTGAAAATTCAAAAAATAAAAACTTGCAGAATCTCAAGCATTATTAAAGGTGTGTATGTGTGCTACAGATGATGGACGCACCCATCGGCCTAGAAATTTTGCTTCCGAAACCTCACTGAAGTTCTCACGCAGGTGTTTTTTGAGATTGATATTCATTTATGTAGGTTACCGCGAGGAATGTAGACAGGGGAGGTAAGGGAGATAAATGGGTGAGGGTGGGGGGGGAGGGGGAAAGGGGAGGGGGGTCGTACGGATGGGTACCTTTAAGGGGGGGGGGGTCGTAAATGAGGTTCCCGGATCGCATCAGCACGATTGACCCTGCTTTAGAGTAAGGCTGCAAACTGCTTTATTTTTGATCAATTCCAAGTTCAAACATGACCAGCTTTTTGGAGTGCGCAGATTCAATCAGACCGGTCATGAATTTTAGTAGCTCACTATCCAGTCTCCAATCAAAAATGCACAAATTGTAATATGAAAGTCATGATTCCGGTAAACTCCGGTGTCAACTAATAGGTTACGCAACTTTTACAACTTTACCTTTTTATGACAGCGCACTCAGAATTATGTTAGGTACGAATGTACACAAACTGACCGATTCCATTCAAGGACAAAGGAAATCTAAACTTTTGAATACTGGTGTTGTTCAGGATTTAAGTTCTTGAAACTTTCCTGCACTTACCTAAAATCACCAACTAATCTATTTTAGAACTTGTTCATTGCACTAGCTGGCACACCCGGCTTCGTCCGGTCCTGTTGGTACATATTGATAAAAATGGTCATTCGTTGCTTTTGCACAACATTTCCTTGTTCCACTTCTGCCATTTCTCAA